GAGGTAATTCATGCAACTTCAAAATCTTTCCTTCCGCTTTTTCTTCGTATTACCTGTGTCTATGTTTTTTTTAAACCTTTCATATATAATTTTTTCGCTTTTTATCTCTGCTTTTCTAGCTCATTCCTTCATCTTCTTAATATCCGATTTTTATTCTGTTTTCATTTTCCTTATTCATTTTCGGTGAGAAACATGTAGTAATATAAAATTGTGAAAATCAATAATATTAACTAAACATTTATATGAAAAAACGTTTAAAATTCTTGCTTTTCAAAGAAAATATTGTTTCGATGGCAGTTTTTCTGACTTACGTGGAAGCTTTTCTGAATTCGGTGACATAAAATCCACCGAATCTAAGGCCGCGGGATTCGGAATTTTAGTCTTTATATAGTATATTTAAAAAAATTTAAAATACAACCATAAAATTCAGTTTTTGAAATATCGTATACACCGAATTCAAAAGTCAACCTGGACCAAATCCACCGAATTACGTATTTATACAAAAAAAGTCCTAAAATCGGCAACAAATCACTCTCCTGTTCGGCGTGATGGACGAATCGTGCGAACGAATTGCGAAGGTCGTTAATAACGACCACCGAATTCTAGCGTGAACGCAGCAATTTTGGTATTGTGTTAAAACGTAGTATCTCTTATTAACTTGTGTGTTAAAACTATTGTGTATATTCCAGTGTTGGGCAAAATTTAATTGTTCTGGCAATTAACGATTGACAATTGATTAATTGTCAATTGCGAAACAGCAATTAACGATTGAGCAATTGCTGTTATTATTTGATTTGATTAATTGTCAATTGCGGTTAATTAATAATAATTAATCAATCGTTAATCGCAAATATCTACAATTAACAATTAATCAATTTGCAATCTTTTCAATGTTATTGATTAACAATTAACAATTAAAACTGACAATTATGATAAATTTATTGGGCATATGGGGGTGAGTTAGGGCGTTGGCTGTGGGGGCCTGTTGGGGGCCTGCTGGGGCAGGTTAGGGGGCCGGTTGGGGGCCCGGTTGGGGGCCCGATTGGGGACCCCGCTTGGGGGCCCCGGTTGGGATCCCCGGTTGGGGCCCCGGTTGGGGCACCGGTTGAGGCGCCGGTTGGGGCCCAGGTTGGAGGCCCCGGTTGGGGGGCCCGGTTGGGGGCTCCGGTTGGGGCCCCCGGTTAGGACCCCGGTTGGGGACCCGGTTGGGCCCTCGGCTAGGGACCCGATTGGGGGCCCGGTTTGGGGCCCCGGTTTGAGGCTCCCGGTTGGGGCCCCAGTTGGGGCCCCGGTTTGGGGGCCCCGATTGGGGGCCCCGGTTATGGGCCCCCAACCAGGCCCCCAACGCGGCCGGATACAAGACGTACTCGAGTTTGGAGAACATCTGGACGTCATGAACGTTTGAGATATTGTCAGGAAGTTCATCCATATGGTGGGGGAACAATAATGATATGGGCCGGTATTTGGATCGGCGGAAGAACCGATCTCATTTGGGTCAGGGGTAACCTCAATGCTCAAGTTTACGCAGAGAGGATTGTTTCAGATGTTATCATCCCTTTGCGAGGCCAGTTGGGTGATTCATTTCAACTAATGCATTACAACGCACGTCCACACACGGCTAGAGTCGTAACACGCATTCTTGCCGAAGCTCGTATCAACGTTCTGCCGTGGCCTGCTCAATCGCCAGACCTCAATCCAATTGAACACGCATGAGATATGCTTCAAAGAAGAGCTGTGCCGAGTATGCATACCGTACATACTCTTACAACAATATTTTGACTTGTTACAAAACACATGGGCGGCCATTCTTCAAAGTGATTTTGATGAACTCATCTTAACACGTTCCCTGTGCATGCATCATATGTGATGCATTTCGAGGTCCAAACGACACGTGAGTGCACCACATATGAGACACGACCCTTTGTAAATTTAAAAGTTTTTCAAAATTGCACGTGTAAGCTAGATCATCTTTATTTGCTTGCACGTATGGACCACAAAAATTGTGACAATAAGCAAGTGGTACCGGATGACTTTTTAACCAATGTTGCCAGATTATTACTATCAAAATAAATCACGAAAAATATTTATTATTTTTTTATTACAAGTTAGAAAGTTCTAATTATTGACTTGCGTATACGGCACGTGATAATAAAAACTAAACAATAATCAAATAAACAATGTCATAAAACCCAAGAAACAAAAATTGTCTAGTAAGCACAACTAAAATCATTATTTAATGGCTAGCATTGTAGCAATGAAGGCACAATGCTTTTTTACACATCAAACATTCGGTGTCCGTATGCTTTGCCTTTCTACGAGCTTCTGTAGGTGTGTTGCCTTGTTCAGTCATAATTTTGTAGCAACCAACACAACGCTTTCTGGAAATTTTGGTAGCACATCGGCGTGGGATTTTGGTCAATTCATGGCGGGAATAGTTAGATGTCATTGATGGCCCAGCTAACGGCTCAGCATCTTGAATTTCCAGGAGATGACTGATAATTATTTCATGACCTGTCAGCAGTGTCATTTTATTATTTCGATGGAGGTCCTTGTAGATCAAAATTGCATTTACAACAGCTACCGACATCAGATCACCCGCAATGTTTTTATACCAAAAACAAGTTTTGCGAACGGGCGAATTGTAACTTGCGAGCTGATCAGCTACATCAATGCCCTTCTTGCCGCGATTGTAATCTAATACAATTTTAGGTTTTATGATTGGCCTGAAACCAGTGGACATTGCCATTTGATGATCATGACATGTTGATAAAACCAAAACTTTGTCAAACACTTAGGGTCGTATTCCAGAACTCTACTCAATGCTCAAGTCAGGATTTCAGTATGATTTAAAGCACTAGAAATCATACTCAAGTTCTTGCCATTAGGGTCGTACTTCCAGTGCTTGAAATCATACTCAAATCCTGACTTGAGCATTGAGTAGAGTTCTGGAATACGACCCTTAGATAACTATATAACTCGTAACACTTTATAATAAACTTTCACTAACTTTTTCTATCTTTTCACGGTATAGACTACACATAGACTACAGATATTTAACTAAAACATCTGTCAAAATGACTCGAAACGTGCATGAATTATATGTGATGCATTAAGTAAACAACTAGTACGTGCATGCACCATATATGTGGCATCAAGAAAAGAGCTCATACGTGCGTGTATCATATATGGGGCACTCGGAAAAATTTAGATAATGGAAAGGGAGTTTATGAAAATGAATTTTCTATCCATAAATGTATTAATATATATCAATTCCGACGTATTTGCTAAAAAAAAAAATTGCACGTGAGGGGTCAATTTTTGATTTCTAGTTCCACAGGGAACGTGTTAAGCATGCCAAATCGCTGTAATTGTGTGATTCGTGTTAATGGTGGAAATACAGATTATTAATTTTCTTATCTTTACAATAAAAATGAGCAAAATCATCATTTTCGCCATTTTTTTGTCATTTAATTGACGCCGTTAATTTGAGTTTTTTCCCACAA